TGATCCGGCAATTCATGGTGGGCCCATTGATCAAGCTTGTTCGTCTTCCCCATTTTCCGCAGGTGATATCACACGACACCGTGGTTAATGCTGAGTTTCTCCATTAAATCTGCACTACATGCTTCTGGAATTGGCCTCCGCCAGCTCCTTCTGTGGGTGCTAAGATTCACCCGCTACATGCGGCATCTTGGAGCCTTACATCTCCGGACTTAAATTTAGCAAGCCATTCTTGCACTGTTCTTTCTTTCGGTGCATCATCACCAAAAGCTGTTTGCATATTTCCGGCTGCCTTCTTCGATCCCATCCCCCTCTTTAGAAGTCATAGAGTGCCAGTAGTTGAACATCATGTCGTTCCATGTCCACGAAAGAAATTGAAAACATGCAGAGGAAAGTAAAAAGCCATTTGGCACATCAAAAGAGCAAAGTATCGGCGAGCATAACGGTATATTGTAGCACATTCAGCCAATTCTGCGCAACAGCAAAAATACAGGACATATAGTATTAAAACGGGGAAACTATCCCGATGACTAAATATAATCAAGTGTTATGTTCCGTAGGTCAAATTCTTAGACTCGATAAATTAATTGACTTAAGTACTCCTTTACTACACGTTAGAGACAACAGTTAAATCAAAACGAATCAATACCTAGACAGAGAAACGAGTAGAAATGTAGACATTATGCTTATCATTTATTTATCGTTATGCTTTAAAAATCAAGAATAGCCATCTAATTAGTTTTGTTTTTCTTTTCTTGATCAAAGTTCGTCTTATGTAATGGCTGAGTTTTGTGAAGAATGATTGATGCGATATACGCTTCACTAAATATTGCGTTCATTGATTTATTTTCTTTATATCGCCGCCCACCGTTAAGGTCTTGGCATGTTCCATTGTAGCGTTGTTTGGTGGAGCATCGACAGCACCGTATGTATGTTTGTATGTATACAGCACACGATTGAGGAAGCGGGGTAATTTGGAATAAATAGACTTTGAGAATATATATCTTGGATCATCAGAGGTGACAGTAAAGGCTGCCATTGTCAAGAATCATATCGTACAGAGCTACACCAGTAAAATAGTTTAAGAATGAGCCCAACTAGAAGAAGAAACTTTTCGACGCCATCATAGCAGAATGATACACAAAAGATGAAACCCCTCGTAAACATAGGAATATGTTCGTTCGCTGGAATATGTCGAGTGATACAACTTCTACAAGACTAAATTATTCCATTAATTGTACCGCCCCTTGCTCCTTGTTGTAATCATCATTTAAATCTGGTAGTTTAGGAGTTTGACATATTCTGGGCTAAGAACAGTATATGATGTTTATGTGGAAGCAAATTAAGACCACCAACTTCTGAAACGTCGTTCGTAATGAGTGCGAGGTGGCTCTAGCGGACAGATCGATGCGATTTTCATCAGGCTGTGCAGGTGCGCAAATACCATGACGTCGTCGCTTGCTAAAATGACCCCTTTGGCAACTAAAAGCAGTGGGGCGGTGCAATACGCCGTGAATTACCGTCGGTCTGAGAGAATTAAGGATTAAACCCCTACGTAATGACTTTAGCGCAGATTCGTAATTATTAGTTTGTTTTGGTGTACTTTCTTCGCATTTTCAATTAATATCTGACTTGGTCACTTTCAGACGTATGGTAACTCTGTCAAATGTTGCCAAATTTACAAAGGACTGACCATCTTGAAATGCAGGATAATTGTACGTTTCTCTGCAATTTTCGTGGCTTCGTGCTTCCCGCCTTTCAGTTGCCTCATAATTTAAGCATTTAATTACGATTCACTTTTAAAGTCATAGAGAAAGAAACAGCAACACTTGCTTATTTCGCATTAAATTATTTGAGTGAACAATAAAGAAAAATTACAGAGTGAGAAGTTGCAGCTGCGATGGTTTGAGCTGTGGTGCAAATGACTCCAGAACAGAAGATGAAGCAACTGCTTCATGCCTAGCTGACTGGAAGAAGACCAGGAGACGTCTAAGATAAATCTGGTGCAAATATATGAAAAGGGCCTGCTCTAGGCTTATCCGGTTGTCTTATATCGGAGCTGAAATGCTGTCACAGGATCGGAAGCTTTGGAGACGTTGACTGTTGCTTCGGTGACCTGAAAGTGCAAACTATCACCGGAATTGACTGATTGTTAAAGAATAATTTAAATTCAGTCAGCTTTTGTAAGCGTTAATTATAAACCACTGCCTTGATTTTCTTAGATCTTCCTCGCAAAGAAACTAAAGTAATGCGAATAGTTTTAAAGTTTTACGTTATCAGGCAGTTTCACAGAATTAAAATTAAATTTGTTTCCACCCCTTTAAATTTATTGAGACCTACTTTAATGGGAGCCAAAAGTGCAACCGACGTTTATTTACTCGAGAACTGATGTACGTCATATTTCTGTGCGTCGCGCATCTAAGATCATCTGAATATCGATTCATCATTCAGTTCATGTTTTTTTTTTCAAAAGCAAGCAGG